TATATATACATATATATATATATTATGTGTATATATATATATATATGTATAGATCTCTTCCAAATTCACCCTACACGTCAACTCAATTCTGAAGGAAGGTTTGTGGCAAGCAGCCATCTTCGTCAGCTAGCCGATCTTGGATCAAGTAGTTCCTGGCAAAGAGAACTCTAAACCCTAAACCCTAAACCCTACACCCTAAACCCTAAACCCCAGCCGTTCAAACTGGCTTTGCAAATCCAGGGGACTTGGACACCCAACTCGCTGAACCCAAACCTAAACCCCAAGTTTTGGGTTTGGGATTTGGGGTTTAGGGATTAGGGTTTAGGGTATAGGGCTTAGGGTTCAGGGTAAACCCTACGCGGCACTGAACCCGCCACCCGAGCCCCAAACCCGCCAACCCCGAACCCCAAGTCCTAAACCCCGGAATCCCAGACCTTAAACCCAAGGCGTTGGATCCTGACACCATGAACCGAGCACCGAATTCTCGGAAACCCCAAGGCTCTACAGCCCTGAACACTACACCCGAAACTTGCATACATATTTATATATATATATATATGTATATATATATATATATGCACATACTTATAAGTGTATATATATATATATATTGACATTGACTGACGGACTGATTGATTGATTGATTGTGCATTCGTCGGCTCAGGTTGCAAGAAGTCTCTGAGAATGAATACACTGTACACTGTACTCTGTACCAGACCGGAGTACTAGAAGTACCAAGGTCCCAGCTATAGGATGGGCCACGCGCAGGTCGTAAACCCTGAGCCTGAACTTGAGCACCCCCCCCAAGAAAAATCCCATCGCTATGCTTCTGCAGGGCTGTGGTCTACCTTTAGTCTCCATTGTAGTTCCTTTTTTTCGGTTTAACCAAGCCATACTGTTGATGATAAAAAACTTCATGACCGTAAGGACCCTCTAACTATGGGAATTATGGTATATTCCTTATTATGGGTGATGCAGGATTGAGATCATCAACTGTAGTGCCTGTAGTCTCCATTGCAGTTCCTTCTTAGGGTCACCTTATCCTAAACCCTAAACCCTAAACCCTAAACCCTAAACCCTAAACCCTAAACTTATAGGATCCTAAATACAGAACTGGTTAAACCAAACAAAGGAACTACAATTCAGACACTATAGGGAACCCCAGCCCTAAACCCCTAAAGCCCAAACCCCTAAAACCCGTACCCCTAAAACCTTAAACCCTACACCCCTAAAGCCCTAAACCCCTAAAGCCCTAAACCCCTGAACCCCTAAACCCCTAAACCCTAAACCCTAAACCCCTAAGCCTCCAAACTCCCAAGCAGAAAACCCAAGTCGCGCAAGAACAGACTCACCAGGAACCTTCAAGCTCCCTCCCGAAGGCTCCATGTTCCTAGGGTTTAGGGTTTAGGGTTCAGGGCTCCATTGCAGGGTTTCGGGCTACCTTATAGGATCCGCGGTATAAAGCCCAAAAAAAGAACATACAATGGAGCCTATGGGTATATAGGATATATACTGAGGCCTTAAACAATTTGATATGTAGCTACTTTTCTTAAGGCCCTAGTACATACTAGAAAGGCTCATGGAGCCTTAGGATTGCTTTATGGGTAGTTCTCTAAATTAGGGCCCCGTTTTAGGAACCCAAAAGGAGGCGGCACTCTTGTAAAAAGGACCCTCAGAGGGACCCTAAATCGGCGAAGTACTCTTATGATGATTAGAAGTCAACTTAGAAGAGCAAGAGCTTGAGCTGTGAACGAACCCAGATACGAATGGAGAAACAGAGACTCGAACCCCTCAACCCTAAACCCTAAACCCTAAACCCTAAACCCTAAACCCTAAGAAGGTTCAGCTAGGCATCTCTGGCTTCACATCCCGGTGGATAATCGAGTTGTGGTGCAGGTATCCGATGCCGACCTTCCAGACTGAGGGTTTAGGATTTAGGGTTTAGGGTTTAGGCGGGTGTAACCTAGTCCTCGCCCTCCTCCGACCACCCGGCCACGACGACTGCTACTGCTACAGCTTACACTGCTAGTACTGTATATTCCAAATATATTCCTTATTACGGGTAACACAGGATACATAATATAAATCCAGTGTTTTCACTAAGCGCCCTCCTAGTGTTGTCCGAAGAACCGAGCAAAAAGAACAATGCCCATATCATCAACCGTACTACTACGACGACGACGACGACTACTTCTACTCGTGGTCCCGCAGTAGCTGCTGCTTGCTGCTACTGTCGTTTCAGCTGCTGCTTCTGCTGATTCTGCTGCTGCTACTACTACTACTACTACTACTACTACTACTACTATTACTACTACTACTACGAAAAAGAATAATAATTAATATTGTTGTTATTTAAAGGAAGGACCAAAATCACAATGGCAATAGCAACACTAACAATCAGAGTTGTAAAACTTCTAAAAGTAACAAGAAGCCTCAGGAACAATAATGGTAATAAATATAACAACATTAGTTCGAATGCTAGTGCTAGTGCACCGACGAAAACATCGGAACAGTCGTTGCCATACTCCTGGTAACGTTGCGGCCAGAAGTCCTCAACAGCAGCATCAGTGCTGGCAAGCCATCTTTACCATGGCTACCCCCGCCCCATCATCGGCATCTGGGTGCTCTGGTACTTCATGCACGCCCTCGTCCTCGTCCTTCTCCCCCCATCATCCTTAATCGCATCATCCGCGTCAACATCATGGTCAATGACGTCATGGTCACTACACCCAACCATCTCAAGCATCAAAATCATCACTGTCAGCCACCAGAATCATTATCATAGTCGACATTCGCATCATGGCCATTGCCAGGATAATCCTCCACTCCAGTTGCGTTGCCGCAAGCCTGCAAGTCGTATTCTCATACAACTCCTCGCAGTCGCCATACCTCATCCTCGGTGCTTTAATGGATTGCTGATTTCGTCATCACCATCAGCACCAGTATCCTGTCACAAGTATCCTACACAAAGCATTCATATGCATAAGTATGTTTCTTCTCGGCCTTCAATGCATTCACGCTTACCCTGTTCAGTCCGAGCAGTACGGATTGGTCGTAATCGCAGCCGACGAGTGGGGACAGTATGGAAACGACTGAGAGTCTGATGAAGTACTGGACGACCCGAGAAGCAAGGCTACTGTTGATGAGATAAATCCTGCATTACCTTAAGGACCCGAAACAACGGGAATTCCTTATTCTGGCTGGGATATGCAGGATTTCTATCATCAACAGTATTGCTGCAAGGGTGGGGATCTATGCAAGTGGTCGGGATGTAGGATAAACAGACGAAGCAAAATGGCCAGCCTCGGGGAGCTATTTTAAACCCTCGACCCTTCCAGCAAAAAACTTGCACTTTGACGTGTATGCGGGCTCCCTTCAGCTGCAAAGCTTTTTTTTGCCATGCGTGTGCAGTAATTCCGAACCTCTGTGGCTCCCCTCCCAAAGAGCCCATGGTCAGGATGACATCTCGGTAAAACCCTGGGCCCCGAACCCTAAACCCCACACAATCTCGCTTTCCCTCTCTCTCTCCACTGTCTCCTTGTTTCCTCCCTCCCAGTCGCTCTCCCGACTTTACCATGTACCAGCAGATCGGCCATTTGAAGATGGCTGGCCCTTTGAAGATGACTCATATGACTCATATGGGTAGTTCTCTAAGTTTTGGGTCCCTGTCATATGACGTTTGGGGTCCCTGTTTAGCAACCAAGCAGAAGGCGGCACCCTGATCAAAAAGCCCCTAAAAGGGACCTCAACGACCCCAAGCTTCCGGGGGCCTTATTATCGGTTTAGGGTTTAGGGGTTTAGGGTTTAGGGTTTATATAGGGTCCTTGGAAGCACCGGGTTAGAAAGCTACTCATAAGTTGACCAACTAGCTCCAGACGGCCAAAGACCTAACCTGGATCTCAATCCTGGGCCTGAGACATTAAAAAAGCGCTAAAAGAACAAGCACCTGTGAAACGCGTATGAAGAAAACAGCTACCGCGAAGAAATCCTCAGCCCCGGGAACCCTGGTTTGTATACCCTAAACCCTAAGCCCCCTAAGCCCTAAACACTAAACCCTAAACCCTAATCTCTAAACCCTAAACCCTGAACCCCTTAAGTCCTAAACCCTAAACCCTAAACCCCTTAAGTCCTAAACCCTAAATCCTAAACCCCATAAACCCCTAAACCCCTTAAGTCCTAAACCCTAAACCCTAAACCCCTAAACCCTAAACCCCTTAAGTCCTAAACCCTAAACCCTAAACCCCTTAATTAAGTCCTAAACCCTAAACCCTAAACCCCTTAAGTCCTAAACCCTAAACCCTAAACCCTAAACCCTAAACCCCTAAACCCTAAACCCTAAACCCTAAACCCGGCCCTGAGAGATGAGCTGCTGATGTATGAAAGGCATGTAATGTAAACCGAAGCCTAGTCACCGAACTACGGCCTAGGGGCTTAGGGCTTAGGGTTTAGGGCTTTAGGGTTCTAGGGTTTTAGGGCTTTAGGGGTTTGGGCTTAGGGTTTAAGGCTTTAGGGTTTAGGGTTTTAGGGCTTTAGGGGTTTGGGCTTAGGGTTTAGGGTTTAAGGCTTTAGGGTTTAGGGTTTTAGGGCTTTAGGGGGTTGGGC